AGTGTCCTTGCTAGACTCCTAGTATTCTCAATCAACCTGTTTTTGTATTTTTGCTATGGCTGAGAACCTCAAACTTTTGCCAAATGCTATTTTCTATATTTATTTAAGAATCTATTTACATTTATTAATAATCAATTCAAAGTTTTGATATATATTTATTTGAATACAAAACGTGAAAAATATATGTGTATGTTGATCAAAAAATGGGTTCCTAGCTCTCTTATTATGAGGTAAATCCATACGTGAATGGATGTACTACGTACAAGAACAATCGAACAATGCATTCATGTTTCATATCGATAACTGTACATGCCATTTAATAATCTCGATATATGCACACCAAAGTAAAAATTATATCGATGGACATTATGAGACTTACAGGGACCTGAATTCGAAAGTGTGGATACAATTTAATTGCTATCGAATTAACTGGAAAAATGACAAAATTGTGGAGAGCTATAAGATTATGATAATTTTAGCAAATGTCATTATTCACAATTTATTTTTGGTTTTACATTACAATAAACTTGAACTCCTACTGTCTCAGAAATTTAGTTGACCAAATAAACTGCTGTGATTGTGAACACACATACATAAGTAAAACGAGCCAAAATCTGAACCAACTTCTTCGTCAACATTAAAATAATTCTTAGGAAATAGTAAGCAGTTTAAAACCATGATAACTGAACACATTAATAATTTAAATTATTACATGGATTTTTTTACACGAAAATTCTATATTTCAAAGAAAAATTGTAAGCAAAGTTGTATTGAGCGGTATATATAAGGTTGTCCGCCTTTTTGTATTATAAACCAAGAGCAAAAAAGCGGAAGGCAGATATTTGACAACCTAATATATACTTTTTTATCATATTTAACTTCAACCAAATTTATTAAAATAACTAAAATATCATCATAATTTGAATTTTTTTTTATTTCTAAATGGAAATCGGTCTCATGATATCATGTTCTAATAAGTGTTAATGAAATTAATGAGGCAAAGAAGAAGACTTCATTTAAATATTTCTCATCGATTTCCACATATATTCTATCTCATTTTTAACTAGACAGAATGTCTTATTTTTAACAAAACCCAAATCGGTCTACCATATGTTTACACGTGAATTTTATCTAGAGACAAAATCTCTTTCGACGCCGTTCAACGATCGAATACCTTTCTGTAATATATTGCTTCTCACATTACAAAATATAAAATAATATCTAGGCTAACAGAATCTAGGTACCTTATCGCCTGGCGTTCTATTAGAACAATGATAAATTATTCAATAGTAGAATATTCAATAGGACATGTGACCAATTTCTATGAGACATAGCAAACAATTCGAACACTGCTCCGGGGATCGATTTTTCATCATTCTTGACCTATCTCGAGAACAAGTCGTGTAAGAAGGTTTTTGGAACTCGTCCTTTAATTGGGATTGATATTGTCAACACAGATTATGTAGAAATAGATATAAGGATCCATTTATTTAAGGTGTTGAAAGGGTTTAGAGTCGTTAAGTTTTAACTAGGTTTATTGATCACTACTATTGATAATATAGCAGAACTTTGTTATAAGGATTGTCATAGGACAGACTTTGTCTCCTTAAAACTAAATATAACATGAATTGACTGTCTAGATACAATAGTATAATTTTTTTTTTTGTAAATTTTAGCTTTGGCATAAGATCACGGAAATTTTAATCAAAATTATCAGTGGTACATTGACAAAAAAGATTATAATTATCTAAGAGGATGAAATTGATTGGTTTATTAGAATAATTATTGCAAAATAAGGGTTTTTGGTTGGATGGTGAAAATTCAGGGTTGTATGTAATTTTTGTTGGGAGAGAGAAGCTTTAGTTGTGGACAACTTTGGGGAATGAAAGATGTATAATACTATAACAACACTAGAAAAAAATGTAGTGTACATGTTTTTGTAATGAGACTATAAGTACATACATAGATTAAATTTATCTCCCGTTTATGATCGCGAAAAATTCTTTCGGCTTATATTTATTCTCGTTTATGCAAAAGTTGGTACTTAGTTCAATCCAATGCCATATATTAAAATATAAAATGCTACTAGCCACGATCGAAGATTTGAACTTGAATCCATTTCATTTTTGTTGCAAAAAAGTCGAGCCGGTTGCTCGTTCGAGAACTGGCCGTATCAAAAACACACTATCAATTTAGCCGCGGGGATAACTTTATCAGTTGAATAAATTTTACTCACGTTTGAGTAAAGCCAATATCTGTACACACTTTGTATATCATTTCTAAATGATATTTCACATTAGAAGGGATTTTTTGTAATACTAAATTATGCTAATATTTGCAGTATTTAATAAAACCTTATAATGCGTAAGCGTAAGATCTTATAAATATAATAGAATTTTTGGCCCAATTCTCCGGTTAAATACACCGTAACATAGCGTTGTTTTGGCAATGCCACTTTTTTGTATAAATTTGTAGTAAAAACTGTTAAAATGCCTCATATATTTTCTATTGTGTCCCAAGTGTACAAAGATACAATCGGGAGACACTTCTACGATTGTCGGCTACGCTCGTTCAGAAGGTGACGTCACAGTCCCCTTCTATGTTTATGCAATTATTTTATGCAATCCATGTAGTTTTAAGGTTTATGACTACATCACTAAATAAGTCTGTAGGATGACACATAGATGACTTTGTTATGTATAATAATCCATATGATTTGTAGGAAGTACCAATTTTAAAAAAGGTATGTCAATTATTCATTGCAATTCAGCGATTAATTTACAAATTTTAGAGGTTCAAGTGACTTTACTTTTGAGTTTTTCAAAAAAAATGATTTCATATGAACTTTGTCCTTTTATGAGTTAAAATACCTACCTGTAATGTAACAAATTAAACACCATATTTCCTTTCCTATGAGTGAAAAAGTAGCTTTATCTCGTAATGGCTCTGCGTAGTATCATTTCATCAAAACGAGCTGAAAGAAAAGAAGGTTTTTGCTCAAGATCATTCGAGAACGATCATTTGTTCTACCTCTGTAGTCGTAAGAAACTTACTATGTATTCGTGTAATTGGATCTCAGGTACCCCTTACCTGCTTTTATTATCTCAACCTGAGAATTCGACAGAGAGCTGGGGGAACAAACCTAAACCAAATTATAACATAATATAACATCTTGTAGGGCATAATGTCAAGTAAAAAAGAAGAGTCTTTAACTATATTGATTTTTTTATCTGGGAACATAAAGTTTGTTAGGATACTAAAATTATAAAAAAACATTCTTTTTTTTGTATTTGATGTTATGCCATCCAAAATTTTATTCATACTGTACTTTTGCTTACGTAGTTATAGAATTTATTAAAACTCTCCTTCGATAATTCAGGTTGTTGGGTTATAATTTAACCCTTGTAGCTGTGGACTGTATTAAACACTGATTTGCTTGTATATTATGTATTTGTTGCAGTTCTAATTACAATCACTGATTTGTTAGTAAGTTATAAATGAAGAAAGATATATTTATTTTTATTGGTTATTTACATGTTGTTAAGCGGACTTTACTTTTTGAAGTGAACTACTAGTTCAATTAAAAACACTCCGCTATCCCCTCTACCAGGGGTAGCAACCATTCCGTGTAAAGCTTAATGCCTTGAAGTTTGTCACTTTCATGGCCAATATAATAAAATGAAAAGACGTCCGAACACATACATTTCACCGTCAAATATATTGTAATATATTAAATTAAGATATGTTTACCAGCTCCTGGTTTAAGTTGTTCTCTTTGCATCAGCTTTTGTCTTGCGGTTTTGAATCTTCGCCAGGATGCGCCGACAGACGTTCTTTTACATTGTTACGCAATATCTTCCGAGCATCGCAAAACGGCTATTTATTTCCAGGTCTATGACTTTTGCAACTACCGAACAGAAGAAAACATAATGCTTTGAATTTTTTATTTAAATGAATTTATCGCGTAAAGATAGGACAACCGTTTGGGTTGCCAAATATATAAGAGCCACGTCGTTTAAGAAGTCAGCTCAATAGCTCATAGGGCTTACTAGGTTGCGATTGCATTTATTTTTTTTTCAGAAATACATACAGTCTGGATGTTGACTAAATTGATGTTTTACTATATAAAATCTTTGAAATTTAAGCCATAATATCATTTTGCCAAATAGTTGATGAAGTCACCAATTGTTGGTTTTAATGCGAAACTTCGATCTGAAATACATACAGAAATGTTTTGATTAAATTAATATTAGTTATCAGTTTACTATGTAAAATATTATCACCAGATGTTAAGATTAGATTAACTGTTTCAAACTTGTAAATTTGAAACAGTTTTTGGGCTATATCTCGCGAACGGTAGGAGGTATTTTAAAAATTTTTATACTGGGTTAAAGATCTTTGGATTTAGAATATTTCATCTGAAAACATCAAGGTCCTATGATGATTCGTTCAAAAGTTATAAGAGCTTAAAGATTTCAGAGTAAAAAAAGCTCAAAAATGGACGAAAAATTTGTTGGTTTTTTTAACTTTTCACATACTTCCCGGGCACGTAGAAGCTTCAATTAAGCGTCAGGTGAATTGTCTTGTAGGCTAGAATAACGTGAAAAAAACTGCATTTTAATATTGTCAACGGTTGCCGAGTAAATAAGAAAAAACTGAATTTATAGCATGATGCTAGGGCTTTGTATTGTATCCGATTTTGAATGAAAATTTTTTGTTTCCGATTTTGATGATTTTCACAACGTTGATACCTTATGGCGTAAGGAAAATGCTATTAAAAAATTTCGATCGCACTTCAAATAGTTTTCGAGAAAAACGCATTTTTTAATATGTGAAAAGGAGCGAATGGTTTTTAGCGAATATCTCGAGAACGGTTGATCGCTACAGCTCCTAGGATTTTTTATTATTGCTCAAATATAGAGGAAAATGCAAAAAGATTTATTCTATATAATTAATTCATTCATTTCTTGTGTTTTAATGTTTTTTTTTTTGTTTTTCAGATTTGCTGTATCGGCATAACGTCACGTTTGACAACGTGACCACAGAAGTTGAGATTCTCGACACGTCCAAATGTGTGGTGAGTGATTTATATTTTATTGTAAAAAATTTATTTCTCACACGTTTTATCGAAGAACATCGATTCGGAATCGATAAAAAAAACCGACAAAAAACACAATAAAATGTTACTTGCTAAAATACCAAAACGGCTAATTTTGTTGGACCATAAAATCAAGAACTTCTGATGATTTTGCTTTCTCTTGTTGTGCTATAGATCTTAACCCTTCTAAAACTTTTGCCCTTCTTCGAGGTTTCATCTTCATTTATTTAAATACAGGTAAAATGCAACAACTTTTAGTAATCTCCATTAAAATCAACGATCGCACGTGATCTTCAAAGATGATCAAAGACCTAATTAGATAGAAGCGATATACGTGTACTTTGTACTTTTATAAACTGGCTTTACAGCTTAATACACCTACTAGAAAGTTTGCACAATAAAATTCTCTAATAGTTTGCCATCAATACGGATACTGTGTTTAGAATTACAAACTACCATAAAACATATTATAAAACTAATCTTCCTGCACCTTATAATAATACTTAATAGGTGCGTGATAAATAAATAGAGAAATTTAATTACAATCGAGATCTGATTTTCGTGGAGAAACTGGGAAGGAAAATGGTACATTGTGCTAAATGTTGATTAGGAATGGAAAATTGGTGAAGGATAAATTTTAACCTATTAACATGCTGAGAAAGTTTTGGTTCATAAATATATAACTTATTTTCTTATTATCTCTTACTACCGACATCGACAGAATACGAAAAATCGATCATTTCCAAAGTGACCTATTAAAAGTTAAACGTTTTTGTGTCCACTCAATCAATTTAACGCTTATGTTCATTATTCGAATAATATTTGGCACTCGTTCCAGAAAAACATGACAAATATGCATACGGTTTATAAATTGCCTCTTGGAACATTACGGTTTTAATAATATGGATGGATATAAATGATACTTTGTACTGGTGCGATATTGGATTGGGAGAATTTTAATTTATTTTAAATAATGTACTTGGATCATATAAACATGATGTTATTGATCGCGGATTTCTTATATTTTCTGTGAAAAAATGAAAACGTCTTATTCGAAAATCGAAATGAAATATCAATTACAAAACTAATCTTCTTCCAATTGTGAAAGTGAAGATACTAACTAACGATTTCCTCGTCATACCTGAAGGCAATTCATAAGTTAAGATAAAAATCTTCTTAACAAACAACAGTACTGTTAAAACAATTCAAATACTCAACACATTAATTGGTTGCCAAATTAATTGCTGTCATAAATATTTATTTGCATCTGATAAGAAGTCATCGATTGGATATTTTTCAGTTTACTTTCTTTCATCCGGATATTTCAACTTGGGTAATTGTTTCTGATCTTAATTGGGATTTGGATTTCGGTTGCAGACACTGTAATTTTAATTACACTTTATTAACTTTAATATCTTGCCAGAAAATCTGCTTTTCTACGATGAATTCATTCTGAATCGTTTTATATCAAAATTAGGAAAAGTTTGTCTGTGTACGAGCAAAATTTGATTTTTCGTCGATGTTTTCTCAAAAACGATTTGATTAAAAAGTCAAAAGCATCTTGATAGAACTCAATAAGGGCTTGAATTTCGGCCGAGTAATTTTTATTGCATACATTTTATTATATACATTTACGAGGTCTGTTCAAAAAGTACCCGGAATTTTCGTTTTTTCAAAAAAATATTTATTTATTCGTCTACATTAATGTGGTCCCCTTCAAAGTAGTCCCCCCCAGATATAATACACTTATGCCAGCGTTTTTTCCAATTTTCGAAGCACCCTTGATATTCACTTTTTGATATGTCCTTGAGCACTCTCAGCGATTTTCTTCAATCGAGGAAAACCGCCGTCCTTTCATGGGTCTCTTCAACTTTGGGAATAGGAAAAAGTCACACGGAGCCATATCTGGTGAATTTTTGCACTTTGCAACACTATTTCATTTTTTACGCAAAATTTAATACAAATTCTTTGACTTTTCAATTCTTCCATTGTAAAAATCGCCGAGCTCAGAAAAACACGTCGAACCTTAGCGACTACCACAGACAAAGTAAACAGTGAATATAGCTGAAAATTTCATCATACTTTAGGGGCATGTATACCAATACAATAAAAAAAAAAATTTGACAATCAGACACTCCAGACCCGCGAAATTTAATTATTAGTAATTCCGGGTACTTTTTGAACACACCTCGTATATATCCAATTCCCATTCTTTATAATCAACAAAAGTTTTCGTCCAGAATTTGCCAAAAGTTCTGAACAAATTTTGCAAATTCCAAAACCCTGATTGATTAAGTCGTTTATTAACTTGCCTTAAGACAAAATGCCCTTACACCTAATTTTTTTTAATACAATATTTTGCAGAAAACAGCACCAATCAAGTTCAAATAATTACAACTGGTTTCTACATATTTGTATAAATAGGTAATGAAAATCCAATTGTAAAGTCTTGCTTCTAGTATACAGTAAACGTTTTGCAAGATTCGATTAATTGATAATGATAAATAATCAATGAACAAATAATAGATATATGTAGGTATATATATATATATATATATGATTGTTTGTTTAAACAATGTTGACCTTGCTCCTGCAAATGGGTGAGCTGGGAAGTAGGAAGTTTCACATCAAGTGAAACTTAAAGAAAAGTCTTTGAAGAAAGTGAAACTCATATAGAGAAAAGTACTTCAGAACCACCTACCAGGTTTTCTAGTACAAAGCCATCGATTGGGAATAATCTTATTATTTCTTAACTAAATGTATATTGAAGATGAAATACAATTTAAATTTGGTACATTTTTTCTTGAATATGATACTGAATCCATTCCGTTTAAGATTATTTAGTGAATCACTCTGATAAAATTAATCTAATGCATTTATAGTAAACAATAAAAATGTACCAATCTTTTTTAAATCTTGTTCAAATAATTAGAATTGTCTAAAAAGATGGCATCAAGGATTTTTTTGTGGTCAGTGGTGGTAACTCAGAAATCTAACCAGAGTCTCCTGAGTAAAAGCCAGATATCCTAACCACTGAAGTAGACCTTATGCCAGATAAAAATTAATTAATAAATTTCATAGAATCATAATATTTTCAATGTTGGGAATCTTCGAAATAATTACTACTTCTTCCTCCTTGAATGACGTGTGAACTCTCGTTGACTCGTGTGGCCCTTCTAAGATGCATTTGCACAATTGTTTGATTACATACTACCTTTTCATCAAAGAAATATCATTTAATATATGATGGTACATCTGTTTCACATTGTTGGAATATAGTTCGTCTTTTGTTATTCCTCAACTTGTTGTCGACGGTGAAGAGACTTTTGATGCGTCTTCAATGATCGTTTGTAGAAGTTGCTGTCAATTAAAATTTTATTAAATGTTCACGAGTACTTGAGCATTTGTTGCTTTTTGATGTTGCATAATTGGTAATAATTTTTATGTAACACACTTAATGGTACAAAATGTATTACAAAAGGTACGTTGGCACGTTTCATCACATAGTTTTTCCTTAAACAAATTTGATTTAATAATTTCTGAAAATAATAGAAGATTCAATTAATTAATAGTTACAATCCTACGTCTGACATCTATATATCAATATAATAATGTAAATATAATCATTCAATTCAACTCTACCTCATTCAAAAGTTTAAAATGTACTCTAGATAATTTAAAAAAAATATATTTCATATAATGGTCTCATATGAATATTTATAGTTATTTACAAGATACGTGATATGTTTCTATCCAATTTTTAAAAAATATTTTTACATATCATAGGTGACCCAGTCATATTATGGGTCACTAATGAAATATGTAAAAAATGTGATTTTTATCAATCTAAATATCTCAGTTTACAGAACCTCAATGCATTATGTTACAGGCATTCTTATTAAAAAAAAATGACAATATCGAATGTCATATGACCCCATAGATTTTTTGTTTTAAATAAAATTATATTGAATTAATTTTTTTGTAAAATTTTATTGTTATGATTTTTTATTTCATAGTTGAGAAATAGAAATATATCTATTGGTTAGAGCTAAATTATCTGGTTAAATAGGGAACTTGTCATTGTTTTCTGCTCATCGTTTCTGTTTTTATATTTTTTCACTTATTGCTATATTATTTAATGACAAAGTTGTAATTTATTGTTTTTTTATTTTATGAAGACTGATATCACTATTTCTTGAAAACCTTTTTTTCAAAATTTATAAAAATGAAATAGAAAATGCAAGTCTGAAGCTTTTGCTTCTTGGGCTACGAACAAGCTTATTTACGATATAATTTTTATATATCAGGTTAGGTTTTCAAAAAAAAATACATTATTCTTTTAACAAAGTATTTTGATAACTCTGTATTTCATCAAATCAGATTAGGCAAAAAATTTCCGATAATTCAGCAAATGTAAATTTGTGGATTTGATGGAAATATATTATGTATCTTAAAAATATCTTCTGTTTTTGGAACTTGATGATATCGATTGTAGGAAATTTGTTGAATCGATGGAAATATATCAAATATCCCAAAATTATGTTCTGTGCTTTTGTTTTGTATCCCTTGGAAATAATTAAAAAATCGTCAATTTACAACATTTATCGTAAACTATGTCAATTTCATCTCATAAATTTTCACATCATATAGCATGAAATTTAATAAGGAAATAAATTAAATATTGTAACAGTACTATCGCAGAATATTGTCACTGATGTCTGTAAATTATTACAGGAAATTTTCTAGCCATATTTTAGATCTGATTTCAGTGTTATAAACATGCTCGCCTTATGACATGTCTTAAAATTATGCGCAAAATAAATTTATTTACTTGAATCTAATAGTTTGTTTACATTATATGAAGTATCTTACTAATCAGATTTCCTACACATGATCAGATAATGATAGTAAAATTCTCACCTACTTAAAACACAACACAATATTGCAATTTTTAGCTATTAGAATATTATGGTCCTATG